CCAAACTCAAACCATTTGCTAAGTCGATTTTGCTATGCTGTGATGGTCATTGGTCAGGATTCTCAAACAAACAAAACAAGCCAGTGTGTACACTTTTTGAGTATATCAACCTACAAATGGTTTACTTAGATTAGTCTCTGCATATTTAGCTGGAATAGGAAAACGTATTTTACCATCTGAAAAATAACACACTTTCTGGAGTTTCTGAATGGCCAGTAAACTCAATCAGTGCTAAAAGTGCCAGTAAGGTAAAGCTGTTGAACTTTTAAATAAAAACCCATTTTCTGAGCCAAGCATTAACAACAGATTTATGTGTATGCTGGCATGACTGCACATATCCTCTGAAAGCCCAGGCATCTTAAATGCAAACATCGCTTACTGCGACTCAAGAGTTCAACTCAAAGAGCTTAGTGTGATCTTCCTCAGGATGATTTCATCTCGCACTGATGCTGTGCCTCAGCGATTGGTCAAGCAGAGGAGGGGGATGATTAAAGAAAGATAATACACATAGATACAACTGAAAAAAAGAAACTTTAGCACTTCCACCGCCCCTCTCTTGAACTTTGATGATACGATAAATGCAATATCTGAAGTTAATATCCATGTAGCCAACAATTACAATTCAAGCTCTGTTCCAAAATAGAGTGAGCATCATATGCACAATCCCAAAGTGAAGGCTGTTCCAAAAAGGTACACAACGTACTTATGGTGCCACCTAAGATATCTAATTTTTGGGCAAACTCTGAGGCAGTATTCTTCATGGGTAAAGACAGTTCTAAAATGCATTGCAACAAGCTTAGTGAATTGTCAATTATACAGTAAATATAATTATAATTAAATAAATACCAAAACTATAAAATTCAATACCAAAACGTCTGAACTGTACAAAAGGTTCTGGAACAGACCATCACTGCATCCGAAACCGCATACTGTATACTACAGGTATGTACTACATTTGGTTGTAACATGTACTACAAACTTGTTTACGGCCGTTAAAAAAGTATGTTCTATATAGCATGACACGCCCTGTTGTCATTGTCATGTGACCTATGCCGTCAGTTGTGTCACTTCACTGCCTTTCACAAATCATCTCCCATGGCCTCATGGAATAGTAAAATGTCCATTGGAAGCACACTTCAGAATATCGCCAGAAGTAGTAGGTCACCTGATACTTTTCGCCTACTATTTTATGAATACTGTGAATTCGGTCATACTCAGCTCGGATACAGTTTTTTCGCCTATTATATGGAAGTATGCATATTTGAACCGAGGGCATATGTTTTTCCATCTTAAGCAAGATAATCTCATGATGAAACATCTTTAAGACATGCACATTTGTATACAGGCCAAGACACACATCTGCAGCCAGCAATGCAATCAACTTAAACTCTGCCAAGGTCAAGAAGAGAGTTCAGCGATAGACGGTAAGTCTTCAACTCATACAGTACACAGGCGAACAGGAAATTAAGAGTAAAGTGATGAATACAGTACAACCAAAGCCATAAAGGATAAATCAAGGAGAAACACTTGGAAGAATAACAGAGCTCGAGGGACAATTGTTAAAAACAGGATATATGATCTTTTATTATTTTTCTAATTTTGTCCAGAGACTTGCTGTTGTTGGAAAAAAAATTCTGTTAGGAACTGAATGGCAGTGTAGCCCTGTTAATATCTGCTATTAACATCAGTCTCGGATGGTGCGATTAGCTAGTGGTCAGCACTAAATTACAGGTGTAAACAGCCTCCAAAACTCTTTGTCAGTCCTGAAGATTTATTATTTGAATTACTTTTTTTAATGGATGGCAACTAGTTGAAATTCCAATGTTAGACGAAACATTGAAAACTCAGATGTGACATGTCTACCCATAAAATATTCATTATAATCTGTCCAATTGGTAAACAATGTGAAATGATGGTAAATAAATTCGGTTTCTCTCAAATCTTGCAGAGACACATCATGATGGTGTAGCCCTGTCTGTTCCACATTTGGCTTCAGACATATGGATAAAGTTCAATATGACATTCAATGTGCACTCAGCAATTACAACCCCCCCAGGAAAAAGTAGATTGATTTCCTCTACCGGATTGTTAAATTCTAGTTTAGTTCCCTATCTAACTGAGCAACAGCAGAGATTTGACACTTTCAGGACAGATTTACCAGTTGATTTCCGAGTAATAGAGCAGAACTGAATAATACATTTTCTGAATATAGCAGTTCAGTTCTGATTAGGCAAAGAACTGCAATATGAGCAACAGCAGTTGATCACAAATTAAAATAAAATGTTGCAGTGTCATATTTAACATCATGACTGGTAATTAAAGTCTTTAATTGACTGCTTTACATTAATTAACCACCCTTGATTAATTAAGAGTACCTGATGCTGGGAAAAAACCTGAAATATTAAAACATTACATGAGATTGCATGTCTATGTACTATTTTACCAACTACATGTCCAAGTATGAAGTAAAGATAGCAGACAAGATGTTGGAATACACATCTGAAATCCTGAGAGAGAGGAAAAACAAAGTTTGAAGTTTTGATCATTTTTTAACTGTTTTACGTTCTTTTAAATGTGCAGTTTCTGAATGGAAGGAATCTTAGATAAAAATGTAGTGCTCTACTTTGAAAATAGAGCACCCAGTTTATGACAGAAGGTCTTAGAGTCTCACTGATCTGGTGATTGAAATGACATCAAATACGTCCTAAAGACTCTGGTAAATCTGGCGCTTTGTGTCCAATAGCAAGTCACATGGAACACGGCCTCCGATCAGAGGAGTTTCATAACTCTCAGATTAACAGACTAATTAATCTCACACACCACTGAACGCATAAAAAATAACAGCATAGAGCACTGAATCTATGATGAACACAACCGATTAACACGACGCAGCCTTGCAGCTGGTCCGTTATGTAAATAATAATAATAATAATAAAAACATATACTAAATTGTAATCTCCTTATCTAATAAGGAAATTCTAAAATTCCAGAATAGCGTTAGTATTGAAATGCATAGGAAACAAGCTCATGTAAAGCGCCATCAACGTGTTTGTTCTCTTATGCAAACTAAAACACCCCCCAGCTGTTTGAAGGGTCATGTCGGCTTCATTACTTCTCTTCGTTTTATATTTGCTGGTTTGGTTTGGCAATCCTTTAGAGCATGAAAAAGTTCTCTTAAACAATAGTCTGAATAGAAAATGCTTTTAGAAATGACATATTAACAGGGAGAGATTGATTAAATTATAGATGTGGTGTAGCACTCAAAGGGAACTAGAAAGAAGGTATGGCAGAGAGGCTGAAAGAGAGGAGAACCATCTTACATTTCAGTAAAAGATTAAAAAAATAAATAACTCAATGTTCTAGCAGAATCTGGGAATATGTGGATGGTTAGAGACTGAACTCACTATAGCAGCTGCATCTCAGTGACTAAGAATGGACAGAATCATAAAACACACACTGCTGCTAATTTGCAGAGAAGCATTTCAGACAGTAGTGAGTTATTAAACCTTATACAAGTCAAGCTCTACACAACCCCTCTCAAATTAGTTACAGACACACGCAAGACATCCAGACACTTGTAAATGTGGAAGGGCCCACTTGCTTTTGCAGTTGAGAATTCTATATGATATGTATTTCGTTTGGAAGTTCTGTTTGATGTGCAAAACTGGCTCTTGAGAAATAATATTTAACACCAATATTAGGTTCACAAGACACAAAGAGATCAACTCCTTCTGAACATTCCACAGCTTTAGAGTACCTAGCACCAAACATCATTCAAAACAGCACTGATATCAAAACTGATCCTGTTACAAAGATTAATGAATTATTATGAAGTCATTATGAATAAACACATGTATGTCACTACAATGGTGCATCTGCATAATGGGTAGAGTGTCAGATCAAAGGATGTGTAAAAATTTCCTTTGAAACATAGCATACAAGCAACAGTGAAATCTATGTTTAAGCTCAGATATATGCTGATAGAAGGTGAAAATGGTCAGAATTAACCCTGCCATATTTTAAAGTGAAATAATCTGATATGCTAGATCTACAGTACATTGGGACCCTATTTTTACATCAAAAAACTTAATTTTGTATTATATCATGCAATACTGGGGCTGTTAGCGATTATTTTCAGATGTTTTGGCAATGTCCTTATATATTTCGGTTCTTTGGAACTACAGCTAAAAAAATCACCTAATTTACAGCAAAAAAAAATGTTTTAATGGCTTGACAATGCTTTAAAGGGATACTCCACCCAAAAATTAAAATTATGTCATCATTTTTATGTCACAAGTTCTTCCAAACCTGTATGAGTTTCTTTCTCTACTGAACACAAAGGAAGATATTTTGAAGAACGATTGGAACTTTGGCACCATTGACTTCCATAGTATTTTTTTTTTCTACTATGGAAGTCAATGGAGCCAAACAACTGTTTGGTTCCAATCGTTCTTCAAAATATCTTCCTTTGTGTTCAGTAGAAGAAAGAAACTCATACAGGTTTGGAACAACTTGAGGGTGAGTAAATGATGACAGAATTTTCATTTTTGGGTGGAGTATCCCTTTAAAAAATATTTTTTAATGCACTGTATGTGCATCTATTAAAAAAAAGTTTCTATGGAATAGGCTTTTTCATGCCATTAGCGTTGTAAAAATAAATCACAAGCACTAAAAATCTAACATGTTAGATGAATTTAACACACATCTGTCAGCCAGTCAGAGGGATGTCCTGCAGTGTGACTTCCTAGCTAATTCATCTAAAACTGTTTTATACAACATTTTCTAATATTATTGTAGCCTATCACTCTACTCTAGAGTCTAGATTTTCTCTACTAATCAAAAAACAGAAGACTAAGTTTATGGTGCAACATAGCTGACATATGAACTCTGTAGATGCGGACTCCAATTAACTTTGCTCCTAAAACGTCACTCTCAATTAGTAGGCTACCTTACACTCTTGTCGTCTGGCGGCTTGATAAACTTGTATATTGACGGCTTACCTGCCTGTAAGGTCTTTCCAGCAGATTTGAATTGAGCAGGGCAGAAACTATGGAATCACTTGCACCGAAAACCTTGAGTGTAAATTCACATTCAAATGCACTGTCTCTCTTCCACTGTAGTGATCGATCGAAGAACGGGGCGCCTGGAGGCGCACACAATGAATACGTCTACAAATGATTGTCTGGTTGATTATTTGCTCAGTGATCAGCGTGGTTTTCAATGCCCCGCTGAGTTTTCCAATCTCAGTTATTCCCGATCACAACTGCCGCAGAATCCGTACGCGCTGCCTTTTACATCGTCGCGCGCTCAGAGCCGCACGCAGGCACCCACAACGCGGCCACATAGTACCTGCTCCTCGCCTCCTGTTTTTCACTGAATCAGGTCAGAGAGATGTCCTGTCCTTTTGATGTTGTCAGGAGACCTGTCTGTCTCTTCTCTCGTACACGGCGCGTTTCTCACATCCCTGCGGTTCACAGCAACAGCAGTAGCCGCGCGTCAGCTTGTGCTCCGAGTCCGCGCGCCGCCCGACAGCACTGCCTAGAGTTCTCACACAGACACAGCATGGCACACATTATTAAATAATACATCGAGATGATATGAATAAAACGCGACTGCTCGAACAGTACATTCTGTTTATTTGTAAAAACACTGTGACAGGAAATCAAAAATAGCCTACTTTTGACTGATTCAATTCACATGGCAGACAGTCTAGGATGTGAACTCGAAGAGGCAATCATTTTAGTAACTGATTTATAAACTTAATGTTAAATTTACTTTAAATTTGTATTAGGCTACTTATGTTTTTCATATATATATATATATATATATATATACAGGTGAAACTCAAAAAATTTGAATATCGTGCAAAAGTTTATTTCAGAACTTAAAAGGTGAAACTAATATATTAGAGACTCATTACATGCAAAGTGAGATATTTCAAGCCTTTATTTGTTATAATTTTGATGATGAATACCTCACAATATTCTAATTTTGAATTTGGGGTTTTCATAAGCTGTAAGCCATAATCATCAAAATTATAACAAATAAAGGCTTGAAATATCTCACTTTGCATGTAATGAGTCTATATAATATTAGTTTCACCTTTTAAGTTGAATTACTGAAATATATGAACTTTTTGTATTAATAATTCAAAGCGATATTCAAAACAGTTTCACCTGTATGCAAATCTTCTAAAATAGCTATCCCAGCTGATGTAGTTTTATGCGGCCAGTTCTGAGTATATTAGCTACTTAGTGTTGTCCATTACTGAATACAAATAACATGATACAAGTTGTAGTTAGATAGGCCTACGTAATCTATAACATTAGGCCTACACCTTTTAGGCAATATAATATGACTACTTTTAGATTAGGCTGGCTACTTATAACCAAATTTTTTTATAATATTCAATTGAATAGAATCTAGCCTACCATATTGATAAAAATACAAAGAGAAAGGAAAATTATTACATTTTTTATCAACTCCATTAAGTCCGTTAAACATTAGCCTACGTCAGCTGATCTGACACATAGCCTAAGTGCTCGCCACTGTCTTCACTCCCATAGTCGGTATACATCAAGTCGATCCGCTTTTACATAAAGTTAAACTTTTCTCAACTTCGTCGAGTTGCTGACACACCCGTGTTCTTGCTGAGCGTTGCTGTTGCTCATAAGCTCAGCCGGTTTGGGCTGGCAGTGAACGAGGCTTGCACGGCCTTGTGATGTCTGATTCGTAGTTGAATCTTTTCAAGGTATCTCTTCTGAATCACTTGAACCAGTTTGAAATTCCACCAAAATCTGAGTCCGTTCCAGTGGTTCTTCACTAAACCGGAACTCATTTAAGTTTATTCATGTATCAGATGCTTTTACAAATCGACAAATAAATGTGGCAGGCATCATCTACTCCCAGTGTCACTGAACAGTTTGTTAATTTGTTTATACACACAATTATTTATATAGGCCTATTTATTATTGCGTGAATATGTGGAATTAGGGTGGAATTAGGCCTATTCATGATATTCCTTATCATTTTAACAGGGTTGCTCCTCCAGAACTGAGAACCTTTTGTTCTGATTCATAATGAGTTGATAACCAGTAAGTCAGCTGATAGTACTTGGAGTGAACCAAACATTTGAATGATGGGACAACCTGTTACCATGTACCTTCTGCTTTTCTCCATTCATTTTGTCTAAATAGTCACCTTTTAGTTTTTATAGCGCTTTATACAATGGGCCTACAGATTGTTTCAAAGCAGCTTTACAGTGATCAACATGCGTACGTACAGAGTTAATTTCAGCTGTAAAGCATCTCTAAAAAGAAAAGTGTTGCTGAAGTCAGTTCAGTTTTGCTGATTCAGTTCCGTTGCAAGACCATCAATTATTAAATTAGTTCAATTCAGCTATAAAGCATCTCTGCAGAAAACAGTGACGTCATCGCCCAGCTCAGTTCAGTTTTCATCAATAGTGTCAGTGCAGTCAGATGAGTAATATTGTTGAATATTAAGTATCTCAAACCAAACAAGCCAAAAGGCAACAGTGGCAAGGAACCCAAACTGCACCAGGTGACAGAATGGAGAAAAAAGAATCCTTGGGAGAAACCAGGCTCAGTGGGGGGAGCAGTTCTCCTCTGGCCAAACAAAGCAACATGGCGTGGTTTAATTCCAGGCTGCATCACAAGTCTGAAGTCAGAATGTGGTCTTCTTTGTATCAGCATCTGATTGAGGATTCGAATTCACATGCTAACTGTTCCCCTGCCAGCTCATTGGAATTAATGAAACTTTATCGCTTCTGATCCAAGGCTGATCTCATCCTTCTGAAGACATTTCTTACCCACATACCCCCGACTCAAAGGGGAATACAGAGAGTTCATGCAATACTTCATCTATAAGCTCTATTCATACCCTGGACTGAATAAAGCTTCTGTCTGGTTTATCCATTTGTGTGTTGTGCTGTATGACTAATTTGGTGAGTGTCCAGTTCTGACAATGATCAGACAATAACGGATTTCAACTGACAATAAACACAGATTGTCAATTTTTAAATGTAGTTTACATGTAAATCTTCCTGAAATACATGCATGCACATGCGTCTTTCAGTGATATCAGAAGTGGAATAATAATACAAATGTTCTTACCAGTTGTTTATGTATCACCTAATGACTGCTGAACAGCTATTCCTTCTTGTAATGTGATGATTCATGCTGATCAGACATTTTTGCTGAAAGCATCTTGCTGACCCTCTGTACTGCTTCAGGGCAGTAAAATGCAGTGTAGGGTACAGGGCTATTTTTGAGGATGAATAATCCTACTGGTAAGTGTAGAAGCAAAGCAAATTCACAATCAGGAAGGGGGTGGAGAGAGGGTTAGAGGTTGGTTTCTTCTGGCTGTTGGGCCCCAAGTGACTGTCAGGTCTAATCACTGTCCTGCACTTTTAATGGTCATAAAAAAAGTGAACCCAACCTGCAGGCCAGAGATGGTGTCTCTCTGCTCTTCTAAAGTCAAAAAATTCATCCTGGCCAGACAGAGGCCTTTCCCTCCCTCAAACCATGTTGAATACAGTCTTATTGTGGAGTCACTGGTTTGTCGATTGTTGTGGAAATTTTTGATTTTCATTGATTTTCAGTGGACATTACAAAGGAATGTCATGTGGTTTTATCATTTGCAGTCTGATGTGAGAAGGAGGAACTTCTCTGAAATGTATGTATGTTTATACACCTGAAGTGCATGAGCGAGACACTCTAGAACCAGATGGGCAAGGACTTCTGACATCTGAGGTCAGCAGGTCATCTAGTTGAGGGGGGCTTAAAGGGTTAGTTCACCCAAAAATGAAAGTTCTGTCAGTAATTACTTACCCTCATGTTGTTCCAACCCCGTAAGACTTTCGTTCATCTTCGGAACACGAATTAAGATATTTTTGATGAAATCTGAGAGCTGGATCACTCCTCCATAGGCTTCTTAAGGGATCTAAGCTGGCCGGCCCAAAAGTTATGAAAGACATCGTTAAAATAGTCCGAGTGACTACAGTGGCTCAACCTTAAAATTATCAAGCGACGAGAATACTTTTTGTGCGCAAAAAAACAAACAAAAATAACAGCTTTATTCAACTAATCATTTCCTTCTCTGTACGGCCGTGATATTTCACGTAGTGATATTGCGCAAAGCTTCTGGTTGCACGTCACACGCAGGCTCACTATTGGCTGATGCTGGTCATGTGTGTGATGCGTGACGTACAACCTAGAAGCTTTGCGTAGTTTCACTACGTGAAATATCACGGCCCACAGAAAAGGAAATGATTAGTTGAATAAAGTCGTTATTTTTGTTTGTTTTTTTGCGCACAAAAAGTATTCTCGTCGCTTGATAAACTTATGGTTGAGCCACTGTAGTCACTCGGACTATTTTAACGATGTCTTTCATAACTTTTGGGCCGGTCAGTTTCGATCCCTTAAGAAGCCTATGGAGGAGTGATCCAGCTCTCAGATTTAATGAAAAATATCTTAATTTGTGTTCCGAAGATGAACGAAGGTCTTACGGGGTTGGAACAACATGAGGACAGAATTGTCAGAATTGTAATTTTTGGGTGAACTAACCCTTTAAAGGTTTAGTTAGTGATTAATAAATAAACTACTGGGAAGCTCTGCAGGGAAAAGGACCTTGAAAGAACAGTATAAAGATTGCCCAAATTTGTGTCTGTGTCTCACTCACTCCACAGGGTAACTGCTGTGTTGGCGACTGGGCCTATTCTTGCAAGAATAAATACTTCTCTTTTATAAATTTGATTCCGAGTTGTTTCTTACGCAGTGATGATGTTTAACAGAATTTTGGCCACAACACGATCTAACATGTAAAATTGCATTACTTCTAAGCATGTTCTGAATCACCTGGGAAACATTTCTCATTAGAATTCATAAAAGGCCTTAACCCCTTAGCTGTCACACCCCTTTTTGAGAATGGGGGTTAAAATGCACTATTCAAACTTAAATGGTTGTAATTGAAGAATGCTTTGGAATATATACCTAAGTTTGGTCTTGTTTTAAAGGAAACACTCAGCAGATTATTGAAAACACTTCAAAAAATGAAAATATGAAAAAGTTATGGAAGTTTAAATTTACAGTAAATCAAATATACTATACTATATATTTTTATTTTATATAGAATATATATTTTACAAAATATTTTTTACTCTAAAATTACTATAAAATCAAAGCCATATATCTAACCAAGCTATGTTCCAAATTTGAAGTTGATATCACAAAAATTGAAGTTCCCATGAGATTTTGTTTAGGCGTAGTACCAAAAATAGCCACCGGGTGACATAGATTCCATTGAATTTAGTTGTATACATTCTGCCTTAACAAATTAATAATTTTCTGTCCAAATATCAATTCTGTCACAAAATGTGGAACCTTGAGACTCAGACCTTTCTGACAATATGTGTTTTGTCAAGATTAGAAAAGGTTTTGATCATAAATTATGAAATATAATGATGCCCAAAAGGGGAGGAGCCTGATAAAATATTTTAGAGTACCGTTTCTATGTTGACACAA